TTGCTTTTTCCATATTTACCTAAACACATAATATTCTGCGAACAAGCTTAAATCCGTAAACTGTGATAGATTGAAAGGAAAATTGTTTTCAAGCTGTTGGCAATTCGTAGATACGTGTGTGAGCATGTAAACGCCACCTTTAAACTCATTATTACATTCACGATATTAATATTTATTTAATTTATGAGTTAATATGGCAACTCACTGAATTGAGCACACAAATTTAAAATCGATTACAATGTATCGAATAATAATAAAGTACCCTACCAACTTTTACAATGAATTAAAGTACCCCATGCACTTTTATATGGTCTTGCAGTATTACCTGCAGTACACAGTAGTCATTCACATCCTCAAAAGTAACATTTGTTAAATTTTGTGCACCTTTATTTGCACCACGCCACCCAACCAATAACGAATAAAATAAAAATAACAAGTAAGAATGTCTAAGTTCGGGCGGAGCCGAACATTAAATACCCGGTGCAAGTATTTAATATATGACTTTCACATTTCCGAAAGCTACCGCTACATGGTAATCCGTGGCGTACCAATTTTGATTAAATTAGAGTCCTTAAATTTCGAAATTTTGAAGTTTCAAGCAGTTCTGAAATTTACCGTTGTATGAAAAGCGGTCTCAATTTTATTCCGATTTCAATAATTTTCAACGTTTTGCTTTTATGTGGCAAGCACAATAAAAATACCGAGTTTGGTACGAATTGGTAGAACGGTTACCGATATACATATATGTGGTCATAAGTGGGCGGTGCCACGCCCATTTACCAAAATTTAACCATAAACGTATTTCTTGGTAAAGAATTGTTGCAAGCATCAATTTTGAATAAGTTAGCTTTAATATTTACTGATTTATCGAAGATTTTATATTTCTCTAAATTACCGTTATATGGGATGTAGGCGTGGTTATGGTCCGATTTTAAAAATTTTCAGCCATTTAGTATGCTGTACCAAGGCCAACAACTGTGTCAAGTTTGGAAGAAATTGGTGCAGCGGTTACGAAGATATACACATGTAACCATAAGTGGGCGTGGCTACGCCCATTTTCCAAAAATTTATAATATTATTATTTTTCGTCTGAAAATTGTTGTAAATATCATTTTTGAGTGAATTATATTCAGTAGTTACTAAAATATCGCAGTTTTCGTATTTCTGAAAATTACCGTTATATGGGATGTGGGCGTGGTTATGGTCCGATTTCGCCCTACCTTCCTACCTTGGATTAACGGAAACCTACACACCAAATTTCGTTGAGATATCTCAATTTTTGCTCGAGTTATGGTGCACACGGGCGGACGGACAGACGGACGGACAGACAGGCATGGCTTAATCGATTTCTCTATTCATTCTGAGCATTTATGTATACATTTGTCTATATCTATCTCGATTCGTTTTGGTTGTTACAAACAACAGTTATGTGAACAAAATTAATATACCCTTGTACACAAGCGCTCGGGTATAAAAATATATATGTAGATGCATGTACATACAACGCAAGGCTCGGAGCGGAGACTCGGCCTTTCCGCCCGATCACATTAGGGGATCGGAAACTTGGGCTTTCCGACCCCAAGTTAACAATACAACGTGGATCGAAATCTCGGCTTTTCCGACCACGTTCCGCCCGCAGCCGATACATCAACGATCAATTTTATCAAATACGGCATCGAGGTAGACTGCAGACCCGGCCTCGCCAGCTATCGACTGCCTTAAATTATTCGAACTATGTGCTAAGAAATGTTTAACCACGTCCTTTCGTACTAACCTTCTTTTTTCCAGGAAGCCGAATACAACTTATATATATTTTTTAAATTTATTTGTTAATGTAGGTGTTGTGGTTGAATGGCTCGACAGATGTTGCTTATAGCAAGGGGGCCGGCATGTTTAAGCCACTAGCCTAAACCAAACTTTGAAAGGGTGTACCACCCTAATGTTCATGTGCATACACACCGATATGTACATACATACGAATATGAACATATAAATAATTGCATTATTTTTCCCGCCAATTAGTATAACGAATTAGCCAAATTTGCCCTCAAAACTGCTGGCTGTTTGAGGGTTCCGCTCAGTGTGCAAACCCCTTTTTATTTTAGTGTGGTAGAATCGGCAAAAAAATGTGGTAGATTTGAATAAGATGTGGTAGATTTTCCAATTCATATTTTTATTGGGTATACATATTGCACACCGTCGTCAAAAGAGGCACAACTCAAAAATTACCCTGGGGTGCCTCGAGCGTATGCCTGGGGGCCGCTAGTGGCTAGAGTATACTAGCGGTGCGGGCAAATTCTTTAGACTTTCTATACACAATGCAAGCGGTTTGATCAAACTTCAACATGGCGGCCAGAAAATCAAAAAATTTTGATTTATATTAAAATTACCTTCAGCGGCTCACTTTATTCTTTCTATTTCATTTTCCTTATCATTCTCTAGTGACTGTATAAGTTGCTCCATTTCTGCTATTATATGTACGGTGACCATCCGTTCTGTTTTTTTCAGGACCGTACTGTTATTTAAAGGTCTGTCCTGCGTAGTTTTTCAAAACAGAAAACCCCCAAAATGTTCTGATTTTTTCCAAGTGTCCTGCCTTTGTCCCGCAATTTCTTCGATATTTTAAAATTAACTTTTCCTAATCGAAATAAAAGCATCGTAAGTTGGTTTTGAAGGTTCAACTAGTCAATGCGTTCTAAATATTGTACGGATATGGACAATGGGTGACGAGAAATTGAAGACCAGCATCAAATATATCGATAACACTGTTCTACAAATTTTGTGGTAATCGCTTAAGAAAAAAAATATTTTCCAAGCCGATTTTCTCTTCAAACAAGCGTTTTCGTAATTTTTTCGAAAAAAGTGTTTTTGGTACATTTCGGACCTATTCGTCAATGTCTCATGAAAAAATTATCCAATCAACATAAGCGACCTACAAAAATATATTACTTTGCCGATTTCCATGAAAACTATTAGTGTTACAACCGAACAAAATCGAAAAATTGAAATTTCAATCATTTTCTTTCTACAGTAAATGAAACTCTGATGAGAAATGTAGATGTTACGGAACACAATCTGCACAAAAAATATATATTTTTGCAAAGAGCCCATCAATACCTTTCGAACTGTTGGTCGTTTCATGAGATATTGAGGAATAACTGAAAAAGTACTAAAAATACGTTTTTCGAACAAATCTCGAAAACACTTCTTTGAAACCATGGGTATTTTTTCGTGTTCAACGACCCAAAGTTTGCCTAAAAAAATTTTCTTTACAGAGGTTCATATTTCGTGTAAAGTAATATGTAATATGCCTTGTTATAATTGTGTAAATATTCATTTATAAAAGATTAATACCAATGAAGCAAATGTGATTTATGTTTAAAGTTTAAAATTGGATTAATAATTAAGAAATATACCATCTTCGTTACTTTTAATACTTAGTAGTACAGTTTTCGTTTTGTTTGTTTAATATTCATTAACTTTTTATAAAAATATAGATATTCTACCTCTACATCCCATTTTAAAAATTTTTGAAAATTAAAAAAAAATAAACATAGGGGCGACATTTTTTTTGTTGACGGTGCTGCGCATTTTCTTCCATATAAAATTTTTGTCAAGCATACTTTGTATGGTAAAAAATCAAAAAAAGGGTACGCTATTCAAATGACGAGGAATGTATATATGTAGTATATTTTTGTTATTTTTATACAACGCAATTATATGTAGGTAAATTTTTTTAAAAATTGTCCTGCATTTTCAAAATATATTTATGGTCACCGTAATTATATGTATCGGCGAAAAGTTTGATTTTGTTTTTGGCAAAGTAAATTTTCTTCCCAGAGAGAGTGTGGATACCTGTTCAGGAAATTCAATAGACGTCTTGTTTTCGAACCAGCTGTTGTTGGTTTTTATTCCCAATCTTCGCATTTGATGGGTTTTTAACTATTTAGTTTAAATTTGAGAGCCGTTCTTTTCTTTTTTGCGATCCCATCACCGAGGAAACGTTGTTTTCTGATAAAATTGTTTAATTCTAACTGTTTTAAGGCGTATTTTAGTTGTTTTTTGGCATTATTTAATAGATATTTTGTTGTTTTGGTATTGATGTTGGTTTGTGTTATTTCTATATTTACGATTTTAATTAGAAATTAAAAGTATAGACTATTCTACCTCTAGATCCCATTTTAAAAATTTTTGAAAATTAAAAAAAAAATAAACATAGGGGCGACATTTTTTTGTTGACGGTGCTGCGCATTTTCGTCCATATAAAAATTTTGTCAAGCATACTTTGTATGGTAAAAAATCAAAAAAAGGGTACGCTATTCAAATGACGAGGAATGTATATATGTAGTATATTTTTGTTATTTTTATACAACGCAATTATATGTAGGTAAATTTTTTTAAAAATTGTCCTGCATTTTCAAAATATATTTATGGTCACCGTAATTATATATATCATCGAAAAGTTTGATTTTGTTTTTGGCAAAGTAAATTTTCTTCCCAGAGAGAGTATCCACTTTACCTGTTCAGGAAATTCAATAGACGTCTTGTTTTCGAACCAGCTATTGTTGGTTTTTATTCCCAATCTTCGCATTTGATGGGTTTTAACTATTTAGTTTAAAGTTGAGAGTCGTTCTTTTCTTTTTTGCGATCCCATCACCGAGGAAACGTTGTTTTCTGATAAAATTGTTTATTTCTAACTGATTTAAGGCGTATTTTAGTTGTTTTGGGCATTATTTAATAGATATTTTGTTGTTTTGATATTGATGTTGGCTTGTGTTATTTCTATATTTAAGATTTTAATTAGGAAACTCCGTTTTGTCTTTTCAATTTGTTCTTTTATCCAACAGAGTCTGTATTTACTTTTAAGTTTTTTGATTGAATTCTTCAAGTGGTTGGGGATAAGTCCATACCTTTTACATTCTAATAAGATTTTCAAATCTTCTTTCTGATTTGCTAATTTTTGATTTTGTTTACTGTAATGTTTCAGATTGATAGCAGAAATGGAGCAACTTATACAGTCACTAGAGAACGATAAGGAAAAGGAAATAGCAAGAAATAAAGTGAGCAATAGAATATTACTTTTCAAACGCAACATGAAACACAACGAAGCGGAAAAATTAATATTATCAGCATTTCATAAAGCAAAGGCGTTTATCCAGAAACACAAAAACAACATTATTATAACTGATGCCGACAAAGGCAACAAAACTGTAGTCATATACAAAACAGAGTACCTAGAGAAGATGAAGAAACTAATAGAAGACAGAAATACATATAAATCAATACGAACTGATCCTACAAACACTCTTCAAAGAAAAAACAACAAAATAGTGGACGAACTTTACAAAGGCAAGCACATAAACTTCAGGGAAAAACAAAAACTCACCTGCACTGCAGCCACCAGAATTTATGGCTTGCCTAAAATACACAAGCCTGGAGTTCCACTTCGTCCTATTGTCTCTTCTATTATGGTCCCCTGTTACAAACTGCCCAAATATATCGGCGAGATTATACAAAGTCTAATTTCGGGAAAATATAACGCCAAGAATGCTTTTGATCTTAAAGATAAGTTAACCAACGTCCATGTGTGTGATGAAGATGTTTTAGTTTCGTTTGATGTCATTTCCCTATTCACAAATATACCAACGACATTAGCTTCGAGAATAATTATGAATAAGTGGGACCTAACTCAACAGAAAACTTCTATTCCAAAAAAGAAAATTCACGAAATAATAGACTTTTGCCTCAAGGATAACAACTACTTTATGTTCAGCAACAAACTATACGCACAAACTTTTGGAATGCCCATGGGAAATCCATTTTCTCCAACAATCGCTGACATTATCATGGACAACCTACTGGACAACACCATCACTGAGCTGAAAGAAAAATTTAACATTGACATAAAGCTTATAACAAAATACGTGGACGACATCTTCGCTATTATCAAACGTAATGACGCGAATATTATTCTAGATACTCTTAATAAATACCACAATAAACTGAAATTTACTATGGAAATGGAAAAAGACTGAAAAATACCATTTCTAGATGTTTGTATTTATCGAGAAAAGCAAAACCTCCTTCTAGACTGGTACTCAAAACCAACCTCCTCTGGACGCCTGATAAATTACTTCTCATCTCAACCAAGAAAATATAAAATTAACACCGCAAAAAACTTAATCCACAAAGTACTGACGATAAGCCACACGCAGTTCCATGACGCCAGGAAATAATAAAAAATAGCAACCACCCTAATACACAATCGGACTCAGAAACAACAAAAAGCGCAAAGAAATTCTTCAGTGTTACATACATTCCCAATCTTACCGATAATTTTGATGATAACATAACAAAAACACAAAACACAGCACTTGCATATAAATCTAATTGCACACTTTCGAGAATATATACAAAAACAAAATGTCCAGTGGAGGT